AGAGTAAGGGTAGCATTAGCATTGTAAGTAAACATTAGCTTTTCTTTTTTTTAAGAGGTTTTTATTTAATAGAATTTTTAGACAAAAAAATCGCAAAATATCGTCTTGCTTACAGTATCGCAATATATCGGGATATATCGTATAGTGACCCCTCTGTTATGATATGTATCGTATTGCCAAATTCTTGTCAATACACAGCCCTACTATCTAGGAGGCACAATTTATATGGACAGTATTTATTTTTTACAATAACAARCTGGAATGAAAACAAGCAAAAATGAAATAAAAGCAACGACTTTCTACTTCTTGCCTTTTTAAAAAATRTAAGGRGKAKAAAGTACAGATAATTGTGTGAAAATGTAAGAAGTAGAAGTAAAAACTAGGCTGAAAAATAATGACTCAAGTAAAGTACAGTTACCGAAAAATTCTACTTAAGTACAGTAACACAGTATTTGTACTTAGTTACTTTACAACTCTGAACACGATTTAATACTGAAGGCCAAGCATTCCTTTACTCTTTGAAAAAAAATGCATATCAGCCGCTGCCTTTCATACCAGAGCTGTAGACTAAAACGACTCAGTTTCAGCTTCGTTAAATCTCACCCATCATCCAACAAACGGGCTGCATTTCTCCCAGAAAATGTAATTCCTCTAGTTAAACAACATCGAACAAAGTAAAGGTAAGGCAAGTAGTTTCATGTTTTCGACGCTCCTTGCAAAGAAATGCGGCGAAGCCTGCTGGGCCTCCTCAGCTGCAGCTCGGTCCAACAAAAACCCCTCTCCTCCTGAGTGGGCAAAGCTAAAGAAACAAAGGAGGACAGAGAACTCGTCGTGTGTAATAACACGTCCACATCTCTGAGCACTGCAGCCACCTCCGGCTGAAAGGACAGTCAGAGTTGCTGATCACTTGTCAGGGAAGAGACTCATGTGTCCCAGCTTTACCAGGAAAACAAAAAGTTATCAGCCATCACCTGGATGGTCTTTTGTTAAAAACGAGCATCTAGTTTGCGTCACAGCCACAAACTTTCACCTTATTATCACTCACTGATGACAGTCTGCGTCTGTGATCTTAAAATTTTTCTTAGTTRGTAGACACTTTATTTTATGTGTTTACAGACGTAGCTGACATGTTTTGACGTGTGTCAGCTGTGACACCTCTGATGAAGACTGAAGCRCACGTCGAAACATGTCCAGATTTATTTAACTCCATCCTCTTTTGCTTATTTGATTTAAACTTATTTAGCCTTGCATGGACCTCCATCACAATTTTTCTAGCGGGGAAATGACATAAATACGTGGAGCTGGATTTTAATTTGTGCAAAAAGACAAAACAGTCTTGTTGTTTTCAAGAGTTTTCACTTTAAAGAAAAAAGTTACACAACTGATGTTACAATACATAGAGTTGGATGTTGTCTTGATA